TGCCCCATGGTTGGACAATCCTGTCCATCCCCTCCTGTCTCCCGACGCACCTGACAGGCCCAGGCAGACGTACTTTCTGGGAAGCACAACAAAAGCTTTCCTGAGAATCAGTACTCCCACTACATCATCTAAGTACTGACCTGCAACCCCGCCTGATGGACACAGTCCATCAGCAGCGTCTCCCCGATGAACGTGATGGCCTGGCCAAATGCTTCGGCCAGCCCAACGTCGTCCCCGCAAGCGTCATCGCAGTCCAAGACCGCATCGACGACCCAACATTCCCCGTCCGTGCCGGACACCGCCAGCACAAGCCCCAACACGACGACAGACAGCAACGACATCTGTGAAAAGTTTCGAAAAGCGCGTTTTTAGTCACTTCGACGATTTCGCGATTTTTAGCTTTTTACTCACTTTTTAGCAGAAAATTTTAGCTGTAAACTTCTTCAGAACACTTTGCAGCAAAGACGAGAAGGCACTCTGAAAAGATCGACGCAAAAACAATGACTGATCCATATGAGCCTCAGGAGACCCATCACTTTCTGAAAAATTCGTTGCTCTCGACAGCCGCCGTCGTCTCGTACGAAAATCGGTTAAAAATGGCCGGAAAAATTTAAAATTAATTGAGCAACTCCTTCAAGGCAATAGTAACTCACCCTGAAAATTTGAGCATCTTCGGGTGAACTGCCGATTTCCGCCTCCGGGTTCTAACTGCCGAAAAGATCGGCGCCGGCAGCTTCACTTCCCGTCGATTCCCCCTTCCAGGGATGGTAATAACCATTGCCAGACCCATGACGCTAAATTCGCGGTGAGTCGTACTTACACCTCTCCTTTTCTTGAAGACACGTGACCACAAAAAGTGAACACAAACCTAAGAACGGAGAATAAAGAGACTCACGTTTTTCCCACCTTGGAAAAAATAAAAAAGTCAGGGGTGATTCTGTTATCCTGGAAAAGAGCTTCACTCTTTTCCTGCACCCTTGGAAAGAGTAATCACTCTTTCCTGTAATTTAGCTATCCTTGAAAAGCTCATTCATTCTTTCCTGTAATTTGGGTGTTGTGGAAATGTGCTCTATTTCACAACCCAACCTTGTCCATTTAATGATGGCACAGAATGGAACAGTCATTAGCATCATTTTATATAAAGTAAAATGAGGGCTGACCTTCCCAAGAATAATGNCATTCTTTCCTGTAATTTGGGTGTTGTGGAAATGTGCTCTATTTCACAACCCAACCTTGTCCATTTAATGATGGCACAGAATGGAACAGTCATTAGCTTCATTTTATATAAAGTAAAATGAGGGCTGACCTTCCCAAGAATAATGATTCTTGTGAAGGTTTCCACTCTCTGCTGCACAGTGATTAGTATAGTATTGTAGAGTGTTATATATTGCATGACACAGTGATTGCACACTGTGACATTGCACTGATTGCCCCAGTAATAGTGGCAGCAACCTTGTCCTCAAGGATGGTGCCACAAAGAATGCCCTTCCCTGCTCTATTCTGAATTAGTATATAAATGCCAGGATTTCCCTCCTGCTCTTTAGAATCATTCTAGAGTTGACCCAGGGAAGTTGAGGCTTAGCTAACCTAGATACTTGTTTGCAGTAAACTTTAGTTTGCATTCTCAGTCCTCTGGACTTAAAGGTTTTTATCTGTGTTTGTGTTTGTCCTTTTGTGAATGTTGTCTGCCAGTATATAAATAAAAGTGTATATACTCAACTCACAGTCCTCTTTAATTTCTCAGTCAGGGGAAATTAGGGGGATAACA